TTTTTTTATCTGCTGAGTGGGGGCGTGATTGATGATGAAACCAACCCTTGGCACGGGACTCTTTTTGCTATGTTTCTTTTGTTGGGTAGCTAACTGAATTGAATAATGATTTCAGGTCCTATTGGGCGTTCAAGGAGCACTTTCCTGATAACGCCGAGGCTTTACTCAACAGCCTCGACGCGACGTACAAGCGGGCTCTGATGTCTCTGAGTAACAGTGGCAGCGTAAACAGTTTGAACGCGATGCCGAAAGCTACAAACATGAGTCCAAGAGTGCCGAGGTCTGCCCTAAGCGCCGCAGGTTTGTGTAAAATAAAAATTAATTGCTTCATACGATTTGTTGTTTTTTTTTTTTTTTTTTTTTTTTTTTTATCAACACTCCTGTAAACCACGCGAGGAAACAGTTCGCACAGATTTTTTTTTTTTTTCCATTAATATCAGCACATCATCATCATTCTGATATTAGTTCGGGACTGTATTGATCATGATTTTTTCGATTAAAAGTAAAGTGTTGTCAATCGGCTTGAATTTTTCGAGACTAATGTTCGTTAGTGTTTTCTATATTGTGCTGTATAACGTGTATATGTATTTTTTTTTTTTTTTTTTTTTTTAAATATAAAAATAAAAAAAAGGTGTAAACTTAGCACAGCAGACGGTCAAATATACATCGTCTTTCTTTTCCATGCTGCTTTATGTGACTTGAAATTGCGTCACGCGTATGAAGGTAGCACGGAAAACTTGCACCATAGTCTGGGCCCGGCTCATGGGCCGCTCAGACGCACTCCGTCCTTGCCACGCTCTTATCGACAATCTGGGATACCGATTCTTCAAAGACCTCTCGACAATCACTGTAATTTTTACGATTGCTTAGAGATTTTTACGTTATTATTATTATTGCCACTTTTTTTTCAGTAACCAAAACTAATTATTGGCACACGGGTGTTAAAACATACACGTATATGCACGTTTGGGTATTATTTACACTTGGAGAGAAAATGTGGTATAATCTCTATCAAATTTTAATATCTCATGCTGACTTTTCTCTCCGTGTAACTTGTAAAATATTAATAATATTATTACTGGCACTGGTCTTCAAATGTATTTCTTATTATGTTCATTATTACAATACCCCCCTTGTATTCCACTTTTCCACGTATTAATAGAGCAATGTAACAAATATAATCATCGTAATCGTTGGGATATTTTACCTGACCCGTCATTAATTAATTGGATATTTTTCATCATCAGAATACGCTTAATACCACGTAATCTTAGCTTTCATTTATAATTTAGGTAATCCATACATGCTCATATTAATTTCACAATTTAACTTGGCTACCAAAATCTAAACTTAATTGAAATAACTTCATCTTCATGTAATCGTTTGCATTCAAGGTGGCGTTTCCCCTGGTCCGAGGTCCACAAGTGCCATAGATGTCCAAGCAGCTCAGCGAGCCAACGCGAGAATGAAATACGCTTACATGAACCGACAAAAAGCTACGCTTCGTAAGTATTTATTTATTCTTTCCTTCTGTCCCTTGAGATACGTAAAAATTATTAAATTCATAAACCATGTTTGTGCTGCAAGATGACCACGGAGTTGGTCCTCCGAGTAGACCAGGTATTACGGCCTCTATTCGTGAACATTCATCCTCATAGTCTACTACTGCTTAGAGATTTATTTTTACATTTGTTTTCCAGCTCGATCTAATAAATCGCCAGAGTCCAGTTCTATAGCCAGTCCAGAACGAATCGCTCGGACTCGAACTCGAGGTTCCGGAGTTTCGCAATCTCAACGTAAGTGTAGTATGCTTTTTTCCACGATTGAATGAAAAAAAAACAACAAAAAATAACACGATTCCACATGGAAATGTGAGACTTTTTTTTACTGTTCATTGACCATGGTTGTATTCAACTTACAGCCAGCAGTAGATCTGGTTCACCGTCCTCAAGGTTGAGCTATGCGACGTTCAGCAGAGATGGTGATACTGCGGTTGGATTTGGATTTGAAAGGCGCAGTTTTGGCACCCCAATAAGGTGAGTTTGTGCTTTAAAATGTATTTCAATTTGAAAAATACTCTCGTTCACAGTACTCGACTTTTTTAGGAATAGGAACTTGCACATGTTGCCAACGGACAGGCCACCCTCTCGACCTGTGATGGCACAAAAAATGCTTCTGCAGTCGCGAGAGGCTGAATCCGCGTTAGCCGATGCTCTGAACTGCGACGGCGTTGATAACTACACAAGAACGCCGAAAGGCAAGGGCGAGCACAGTGACGAGAGTGAGACCAGTAGCATTTGCTCGGAACGGAGTCATGACAGTTTTCGTAGACCCAGCAGCGATGTGAGTCTTCTTTTGTTTTAAAAACTTTTCATTTACAATTCTTCGCTTGAATCATTGTCAAAGTCAACCGTACTTTTTTTTTACAATCACAATTTGTCACAAAAGTTACATTGGTAAAGAATAAACTTTTTTTTTCCCCCAAGTTGCATCACAAAAATGATAACTTACCTTTTCATGATTGAAATAATTCCGGCCCTTAATAGACTATGTCACGATAATGATTTTTTTTCCAACCACATTACGATTAACACATTCGGTTTCCTTTTCATTTTTGTTTCCGTCTGTTTGTATTGAGTTAAGACTAATTGGACATGACCGTTTTTTAATAAAACAACGTGTTCTGATATTGTTGAATTTCTTAGTCGTTCTCATGGAGTGGGTCCCAGCAAAGACTGTACCGAGATATGTGGGAACAGTCGACCCCAAAGGTTTGTTTGATTTACGCTAAATTGACACTGTTTTTGAAATATTTATTGACTCTATGTTTCTTGTTTTAATTGTCAACTATCAAACCAACTAATTTTTCTATTAACCCTCGCTAAATGTGACTAATCTTTTCTTGACAGTATCACTTTTCATTTTCATAACACGCATAATTAAAAAGTACTTGGTATCATATTGTTAATAACATTCCTAACGCTATCTATACTGATCTTAGTTTAGTTTCTTCTACTAACTTAAAAGGTGTTTATGTAGTAAATAGCATGTAAAATAAATTTTGTTTGTTTACAATACTACTTTCTGCGACTAATCTTTACAGCCTCTTTTGTTCTACTTTAGAAAACCAATTACGAACAATGCAAATAAGTTTAATTGAATTTCGACAGGACATCAAAGAAATTATCGAGATGTGCAGTCACAAGCATTGGGCCGATCGCAAGGAGGGACTATTGGGACTGCAAAGCTTTCTTGCCAATGGCTTCACGCTGAATGCAACGGATTTACGCAAAATCACGGAAATATTTTCAAAAATGTTCATGGACTCGCATACAAAGGTTTTCAGTCTGTTTCTCGACACCCTGAACGAACTCGTGCAAACGCATTACGAAGATCTCGGTGATTGGCTGTACGTACTGTGCACGCGACTACTCAACAAACTGGGAACGGATGTGCTTGGCTCTATACAGACCAAAATTCACAAAACGTTGGACGTAGTGAGGTAAATATACGAATAAACTCGAAATCACAATTACAATTTTTAACAACTGATATTTGTCCCGATAGGGACTGCTTCACCGGCGAGCAACTCTTACCTTGTGTCATGCGATTCCTAACGAACCCAACGCAAACTCCAAATTCCCGTGTGAAAGTCGCTACGCTGTCGTTTATAGTGCAAATCACCGAAACAGCCACGTCATCTGCGCTGAATAATTCAGCGGTTTCGGGCCTGGCTAGACTACTGGACTGGACGAACGACGTGAAGAGCCAAGATGTCAGAAGACACGCCAACAGTGCTGTGATTGCCCTTTATAATTTAAACCCGTCGAAATTCACACTTATACTTGCAGAACTGCCAATTGCTTTCCAGGTACTTGCTTTCAAAGCATTTTTATGTTACTTTGTAAAAGTACCTATTGACTAATGCATGTGTTTCGTAACAGGAGACCGCGCAGCCGCTTATCCACAGTCATTTAAGAAGATCGACGACTACGAGTATGCCAGCATCTCCTGGAACTCCTCCGCCCAGAGTACCAAATTCCCCAGCTCGTAAGCTAAGAACGGATCACGAAGCTACAGACGATAGTTTAAATCCAGAAGAAGTTTACAAGTAAGACCTTGTGTCAAGTGGCACAATTTTATTAAACAGGCAATCGTTGCGTGAAACTGATTTTTTTTTTTTTTTTTTTTTTAATTCCATAATTAGGTCCTTGCGTCGCACAACTGCTGAAATCCAGAACTATGGGTTTGAACGTTTGGAACGAGCGACAACGAGCAAGGACAGCGGAATCAGCAATATGGCTGATGTCGAAGAAAGACTGGAAGGCCTTACGTTGTCCAATTCTGGGCGATCTTCCTCTGTATCGTCGCCAACGCAGCGTGGCAAGACCGTCGTCAATGTGGCGGTCAACGGTTCGAACGACACAATCGCTGGTGATCTCATACTCCCTCAAGAGAACAATGGTTACAAGACTCATGGATCGTCTCCTGATTCGATAAGGGGACCCGAGGTGCTTGACAACACATTGAAGATCCTGCAGTTGGAAGAGTCACAGATCACGGAGAAAGTTGCGGCTCTGCAGGAATTCCAGTTGTACGTTCGCGAGGGCGATGCGTTGTACATAAAACAACACTTCAAGTGAGTTATTGCTGCCTCTCGTTAAATTAACTCGATTTTGAGCCATTTTTTTTAAAATCCTATGACTTTGTTCCGATTGCAGAAAGCTACTGAAAACGTTGATTGGCTGTTTGGCAAGTGATCACAGAGAAATGCAAATCGAAGTGCTACAGTCATTGATAGATATGCTCAAGTGCCCTGAACTAACGGAAAGTTTTTCCAACTACGAAGAGTTGATAGTCTTGAAGGTGATAAGAGCCCACAAATTTGACGATCAAAAGTCGGACTCGAGCAGCAGTAGCAGCAGTGGCAGCAACAACAGTAGAACTACGGTAAAATTTCCTGAGGTATATTAGGTGTTGTTCCCTTGTGTTTTCAGCCTCTCATTTACATTCACCCGATTATCGGAATTTTGAGCAAAAGTAGGTTTTTACATGAAAAACATTAGTTTTTAAAATCATACAAATAATTCATGTACTAACATCCACGTTTTCCTCTCCATCTAATACTTTGCATGAACTTGTGTATAATCGAAGTATATTAAGTTAGTGTAAGCTGTATATGTAGTAAGTGTAGAAAAATTAATTAGTAAATATTTTGTATTGTACAAGTTGGAATATTGTGCATTGATGATTTGTTAGGTCTAAAATATGAAATTCATGTATTTTGGTGAAATTTACAGGTGCTCAGAATGGCAGAGAAGTGCGCGGCAACGGTCGCCGTTACTTTGCCACCCGAACAGACCATCCAATTCGCCTCGTCTATGATGACCACAGAGTCGTTTCCGCAAAATATGGGTGCAATTAAAATGCTTCACAAAGTTGTCGAGCATTACGGCCGAGAGGCAATAGAACCTCAGCTTTCGAAAGTCATGCCTGGTCTGATAAAGGTACGTATTTTCTGTTCAAGTTCCTATAAGACTTGGGCTCGAGTGATTTTCAAAACTATCAAATTTTCAGGCCTACGACGACACCGAGTCGACGGTGCGCAAGAGCGCGGTCTTTTGCATTGTAGCTATACACGCAGCGGTCGGCGAGGAGGTGCTCCAGCCGCACCTAGGCTCGCTTTACGGCAGTAAACTCAAACTCCTTAATATCTACATCCAGCGAGCGCAGCAGCAACAGCAGCAAGCTACCAATAGTCAACCGTCAAGTCCACGTAACAATTGCAACAAGAACTAACTGGCAGCGGCCACGACGAGTACTACAACAGCAACAACACCAACAAGCAGCAATGGTGGTGCGAGCACTGCCACCCTGAGGATCGCGATAATGAAGAGGTTTGCGCGTCTCACGGCGAGGCACGAGCGACTGCTCTTCCAGTTTCTCAGCGGCGGCAGTAGCAGCAAGTCCGAGTCCTGATCGAAACCGACGCGCGGCATTCAGTAACGCTTCAGCCAAGTACAAAAAGAAGAAGAAGAAGAAGAAATAATAAGGTAGAAGAAAATTAGTAACTTTCGGGCGCTTGTTGCGTGCGGAGGAAGATGTGGTGGCGATGACAAAGACGCGACGAAGGACACGGCGTGGCCGGAACGTGTGATGATTATAAGCCTATATATACTTTTGGATCGATGACGATTACTTATCTTCTTGCGCGGCTGGATTGATTTGCTTGATAATTTCCGTTCATTTCTGCCAACGATTGTGTGTATGTGTACATATGTATTTTTCTTTGATGGACGTTTTATTGCAAGTACGTGCGCGTGCTTCGACTCTCTTTAACGCTGATTGGTCGATCGGTGCTTTTGGTGTACAGCACCGCGCGATGAAAGAATCCTGTTGCATTTTAAGCTAATCCATGTCCTCTCGATGATTATACAAGATATCCAACAAAATTATGCTAAATAAACTTTTATTATCCAACTACAAGAAAAATTCTACTTAATATTTTTCTCGAGAAGAGTAAACAAATAATTATAAAGCCAAATTTTATTCAAGTGTAAAATTCAATTCAACGGATCCTTGAAATTTCAGCACATGCTATGATTACACACGGCGATGCATTAGCTAGCAGAAGTTATCGATCGATAAACAGTTGCATAAACAAATAATTCTTTTCTACAGAACACGTAAGATTCGCGTACTCACGCGGTCACAAGTTGATAATTAAGTATATTTAATGATGACTTCCAGCTGGAAAAAATTCTAGCTTTTAGACATCGTATCGACCACCCTGACCATTTTTTTGTTTTTTTTTTCTTCTCATTTTGCAAATTACAAGTCGAAAGATAGATAAAGAGATATGTTATACTTAATAGATTGTTATACAAAGAGTTGGACTGCAAATATTTTGAATAGAATAAACAGGCAAAGAGAAGCATAATATTTAGATTTGTATGAGCTAGTCAAGATTTCAGAGAGACGCACAAGGCGCAAAAGACACAAAGAATTAATAAATCAGTAATTTTTTCCTTTAAAAAGTCGGGCTAAGGGCGAAAGGAAAAGTTTTACGTATATTATATTCTATACATAATACGTGGCAAATATATTTGTGCGAAAGAAAAATGGCAGAGCGTGTGTGAAATAATTGCATGAAAGTAGGCACGATTTCGTTTTAGTGACTCGTCAAATCAAACACGAATCGACACTATCAAATTCATACATATACATATATATTCTTCATTAAACGAGTCATTTAACTGAACCCTTTGTGCCATTATTCATTTTTTTTTTTTTTTTTTTTTTATCTTCAAATACAGACACGTTCATCTATTTTTACATAGTTTGTAGTCCAAGGGGCATCTACAGAATTGTCATAAAGTTTTCAAACAAAGCAATCAATCAAATTTCACTTGTAGAAAAAAAATTTGGATCTAAAGTTGGNTTGTAAAATAATACTCAACAAAATTTTTATTGCAGAAATGGCGCAATATTTTACCAATTTTGCTGGCATAAATGTGTTTTGAGTGCTGTATTATGAGAAGTAATATGAAATTTCTTGTGCAAATAATAATACATTCTATTTTCCGTAAAAAAAAAAAAAAAATTACATTCCAAAGTATTTAACAGAGTAATAATGCTGATCGTAAAAATATAAATGTATACATACTCTAATAGTTCTGTCGCATTAGCTAAGGTTTATTTTTCTGTTGTTTAACACCTCAAAAACTTTAATACATGTATGGGTATGTTCGCAAAAATGTACAATACAAAGATCATATGTTTGCCATAAAAGTTACTATGGCCGCGATCGGAGCGGAATACAATAAAATTCGACTGTAACGAAAGTTGGTTAAAATTAGAAAATGTAATGGTCATGTCGTTTGTGAAGTAGTGATATAGAGTGCGAGGAACTGAATAATTTGTTTAAATAAACAATTTTAGGTATTTTACGGACAGTGAGTGAATTTTCACAATAAAAAGTACTAGCTGTTTTTTTTCTTTTTTTTTTCATCATTTGTTGTTATATGAAATATTCAGCCTCGTGATAATTATTCAGTTGGGAACGTTTGCGAAGAGATGATAAATATTCGTTCCGATCACTGAAAAAAATTAATAAAAACTCAATTGCGGTTTAGTTAAGATGTAGTTTTTTTTTTAAAGCTATATCCGTTTAAATAACAATCAATCAATACTTTGTACCAGCTCTTTTATCAATTGATTTTTAAATTTAAGTTGGTACGAATAGTTGAAAATGGAAATGTTATCAGTGCGACACAAATAAAGTATGTAAAAGGAAAAAAAGAAAATTGACGGTACATGTAAAGTCTTATACTTATCATTTTGTATAACATTGACACACATTTATTTGCGATAAATTGCATCACGTTAATTTTCAGCCAGTAAAATTCTTCATTCTTTGAAAGCTGTTACAATCGAGTTTTACCGTATTCAATATAATACAGCTACTTTTTATATACATAGGAACTTTCTTTTACAATAAAAAAAAAACTTAAGATCTAAGAAAAATATCGTGGTGGGGGCAAAAAAAAAAATAATAATAATAATAGTCACACACAAAAAAAAATTATAACATTTAAGTATCTACAGTAATAAAATAATATTTTTTTTAATAACCAAAAAAAGGATGTAATGCTGCACCACGTACCCACTTTTTCTCTCGCGTTGGTTGTGATTTTCAAAGACAAAATAGGTACTACGTGAAAAGTGTATCATCATACAAAGTGAGCACTGTAAAAAAAGACAAAAATTGTCGAAGCGTGCGGAGAACTGACACAAGATCTCGAATTGCAAAGCTGGGGTTTACGAAAGCAGATCTTTCTCTCTCTCTCTCTCTCGAAAGCGGGCAAACAAATAAGTACAAGAGAGGTACGGAGCTTCAAGCGACTTGTACGATTTTAGGGGGATTGAGCGGCTGGAGAGCGGCCGCCTGGATGTTCTGCTGGGCGCGGCGCTTGGCCCGGCGCTTCCGTGCCTTCGCCTCGGCCCCGCAGGCCAGCAGGTTGTTGTGGAAGTACTCCTCGATCTCGGAGAGCTTCTTACCGTGGGTCTCGGGCAGCATCAGCCAGACGAAGCCTGCCGCTCCCAAAGCCACCGCCGCGAAGAACCACTGGAGCATGTGCGAACCTGTTGCCGATCGAAGCAGAGGAAACGATTTTTCTTTTTTTTTTTTTTTTTTTTCCACACCCTTCATCGAATATTACAATCGTACCAGTGGCAGAGCGCACTTTTTATATATGTATATATACGTATGTTATGGATGCACAAAGTATACCATTTGAACGACCAAAGTTGTGCATTTGCTTCGCGTATATAATTACTTTTCGCATCGAGGGCGCAAAGCCTTGGGTAAGCCCACTTTGGGCCCAAGGGAAAAAAAAAAATTATAATAATTTTGTATAAGGACAAGACAATTTTACTCGTGAATCTTCTCTTCTTCGAGTTGTACATGAAATTATTTATGCGATTTTATTAAATATTCGCTTGCTTGAAAACGCCATGTGAAAAATGATCCGCATCTTTCGACAAAAAGTTGTCTTACAATGTCTAAAACAAAAATATTTTGTAGTACTCGAATTTCGCGGAGACGGTGAGACTCTGTGACTGCCTCTTTTCTTCGTATCAAATAGGGGATGACCCAAGCGAATGAGAAAAAATTAATCGAAGCAAAAAGAGCGACGTCTCTTGAAAAAAAAAGAAAAAAAAAAAATTCCACGTATGAAGGAAATGTATGATTTGTCGTGGGATGACCGATGCAATAAATGAAATTTTTGTCAAAGTAAGACAAAAAGAGAGAATGCTAAATTTCGCGTAAGAAAGTGAAATTTGCAATTTTTTTTCATCACGACGACAAATAATAATGTATAACTGTATTGTTATTGTAATTGCCAACTTGAAATAATAAATTAAAGTACTGCGATGAAGTAGCCGATATTGTTGACACATTTTTTACCTTTCACTTTGAAAAAAACAGAACAAGACGTAGTGTTGAAAAAAAAAATCTTTCGAAAGTCGTTTTAAACAATAAAAATATTTCCTAGAACCATTACGTTTTATAAAAAGTGGAAGGTTGCTGTTAATTATAAAAGAGCTGACCAAACCTCGTGGAAATGGTCATACCAACCTTGTGTCAACAGATATGGGAACGAGATTGTTGTAAAAGATAAAAAAATTTTTCAAACTTATTTGTGACTCATTTAAGTATGCATCAAATGGACAATTAAAAATAAACTCACACTTCACATTCCGGCAGCAGAAAGGTGGATTCAAACAATCAGGTAGGAAAAATTGTCTAAAAAATCTGAATCAAAAATTTTTATTTATCTACTAAACAATAAATGATGAAATTTATTTCTAAAATTCAATTTTAACCTACTGTTACACAATAGGCTTTCGGCTCTGTCGAGTAAAAAATTAGATACCTAAATACTTTTATTAAAAAACCTAATATTTATCGATTGTTCTTTTAATTACAGATAAAATACTAAAGTAAAGTAAGTGTTCTAACGATAATTTTGCCTTTTTCTTAAAGATTAAACAATAATTCTTTGTTCATCGCTCGGTAACTTATCGAAAATAATCCATATAAAATGTGTTCTTTATACTCTAAGAATCGAAACTTATGAATTACTAATATCTATAATAATCGAATATGTCACCAAAATACTTGAAATCATTTCATGCTCATAAATCTCTCCAGATGTTTCGTGCAATGTGATTTTTTTCTAAAATTTATTATGTTAATCTGGACAACATATCCATACAACATACTGGCTCGCTCGCAATCTAAACTTTTTTCTGTTTATTTTTTATTAAAAACAATTTTTTTTTATGGATTTTATCTTTTTGTTCACTTTTAGATGATATTTATCGCTTACATTATCAATCGACAAAAATACTTATCGCATCAGAATCTTTGTACTAAAATACACCCTAACTTGCTATATATATATACTTGAATTAATTATACCACAAGCGTAAAAAATTGTTAAAAAAAAAATATTACCATAAACAAGAGTTTGCACACATTTTTTCCTTTAATTTTACTCGACGAGGTTTGAGTTTTTACATGTGCCACGTGTGTACATAATTATAGCCTCGCGTCAAAACTACGACCACTTTTGCATGATACAAAATCCTAAAAAATTATACATAGAAAAAGAGACAATACATCATCGTGAAACAAAGTATAAAAATCGAACATCATCACTAACATCTTAATCTATCGATGGTAACAGTATCCATATGATTCACGGACATCCATTAAACGAACAAAATATCCATTGCACGGATGACACAAGTCCTCGGTATAACAACAGCTCGCTCTTAGAAGCATCACAGTTCATTATTTGTATCTACCTGTACATTATTTTACTCTCGTCTTTATCGTAAAAGAAAGGGGAAAAAGAGATATTAAAAAATAAAAATCCAACGCCACTTTTGATAAAATTGTCCACATATAGTGGCAATAAGCGTCGCAGTATTACATTAAAAAAAAAAAAAAAAAAAAAAAGAGAAACGAAAATTCTTACTATAAATTACGGTGAAAANCGTAAGATACAAGTTCCAGAAACAAATTTATTTTTTCTTGCGTTAAATTGAACTGTGTACCGTACGTGCGGCGCCTCTTCGTCACCAGCTTTGCAAGAGCTTCGATTCCGCATGCATTATTTTTTTTTTTTTTTTTTTTTTTTTTTTTCTTTACTTTACTCCAATTGTGCGCGGTGTTTGCAACAAGCACGTATATGAGTACTGAAAATCACGGCGCACAAGTGGAGAATTAAAAAAAAACAAAAAATATGAAGTTGAAATGCTGGCTCAATTTTGTCATTTTCGCTGTTTTTTTTTTTTTTTTTTTTTCCCAGTCGTTCAACCTACCAATGTACGACGTCTCCTCTTCCGTGGCATGGATTTCCGAGGAATCTTTTTCCAAGTTGGGCACCAGAATCGCCGAATACGCCATGCTGAGGCCGACCCCGATGTGGAACGTCGCGGCGATGATGCAGCTAACGATCTGTAATCGTCGCAAACAATGTTAACCACCTCTTTGGGCGCAGCGAGTAAACGTTTTTTTTTTTTTTTTTTTTCCACCCTCACTTCTGGTATGGCGTTCCTGATTCGCGTCGGCTCGACGTATCCCTTGTTGAGACTCCGGCTCGACACGATTGCATCCTTGAAGCACTCTCGTTCGTTTTCTTCTATGTTCTTTGATGCCTCGCGCTCGACACTGTTTGTAAACAAAAAAAAAAACAAAAAAACAATGGTTCATCAGCATTTGCACCGTTTAAGGTTTTCTCTTCTTTTGTAATGATCATGTATCACGAGTGTATCACTTGGGAGCCCTCGGAGCTTGGGAAAATTTGTTTAGAGGCACACCGAGATTTATCGGTAACCCACGCTTCGAGCGATGCAATGAAATGCGTGTAACATTCTTTTTGGAGGTTTTTGACCCTTGAAGTTTCCAATTTTTTTCAAAATTCTAGATTTTTCCGTTACTCGAAATCCAATGGTATATTTTATTAAATATAATGTAGAAATTGAAGAAAATTTCACGTAAAACCGGCGATGGAATATCGTTTTGGCCGAAAATATGCAAAAATTATTTTATTACGAAAAATTAACAATTTTTAACCCAAGCGAGCCGTTAAATTAAAAAGAAAAAATCGTGCATAACATCTAACTTACATGTATTGCATCTGCACGAATTCCTTCAAATATTCAAAGACACGAAAAGGAGAACAGTTTTCATCTCGAAAATATATAAATTGAAAAAATTGTTTATGGTTCGAGGGATCTAGAATATATGTATGTATTGTATTGTGGTATTCTCCAAGTACACGATAAATCGTTGTCATCATAATTCATTAACAATGCATTTGACGTAGACCGTTCATCTTCATTAAAAAATACTTATTCATTTGTTTTTAACTGTGCCACGATTGTCATCATCATTTTTATTAAAACATGGTGGTTTTCCAGCACTTGGTCATTATAATTAATCATTTGGCACGAATATGTTTTAAAACGGAATATGTAACTAGGTAGACGACACATATACGTAGCTACAACACAAGAGCCGTAACGCGATATACTTACCTAAATGAACGCTGGTATCAGCTAGCTATTTATGATGGTTATTTACTCCGCACTTTACCTCATGTGTGCACACTGTTGGAATCATGTGAAAATTCTCAGTTGCCATTACTTAGCCAAGATTTAAGCGTACGACGCGTGAAATTCGTAAATAAATTTTATATTTTTTGTTTTGTGATCAAAATAAATTGGCGATGAAGAAAAATATCAGACTTTGAACATTTTTTTAATAACAAGATTTTAAAAACGATACATATCATTGTACTATGGGGCAAAAAGTGTTTCAAACGTACTTTAAAAAACGTTAATTTTTCGTTTATTTAAAATCTACAAAAAGCAGAAATTTAATTTTCATGTTTTCCGTATTTGTGTCAAGGTAAGTATATATACCATAAGTGATGCAAGAGTAAGTGATGTCACTTTAAAATTCAACGAACGTCCCAAGGAAATTCTGAAAAATTGTGGTCACGATTACTATTTCCTAGACACCATAAGCCACAAAAAAAAAACGTGAACGTTAAATCTTCATTATTCATGCTGAAAATAATCATTCGGAGATTTCCCATTTTTTTAATGTACAATACTTACAAGAAATTTAAATTTAAATGTATAATGTTTTGTTGTTAGATACCATAAACTGGTAAGTAACATAAATAATTTCTGAATTATTATTTAATGCCTTGAAAATATTTATTTCTCTTCAAATTTTCTTAATACTTCAAAAAATTAGAGAAATTATTAATCATTCCATCTTTGAATTAATCTATTAGATAATCGAAAGACACCGGGTTCTTTTTTTTTTTTTTTTTTCTTCCCCATTCGTAAATCCCATTTAAACTTTACATTGAAACGAATTGTATTTTGCGAAGTAGCTGTCAATAATACGCTACTCACTGCCATGCACTTAATTTCACACAAGAAAATTCTATCCACATGTGAGCAAAAACACAAATATTTACCCTCTTGATCAATCTCTACTGTAATTCACGAAAGAATTTTAAAGAGCTTCACTCAAAGCCTTATGAATCGCTCTATCTACGTAATTTTATAAATAATGTCGCTAAAAATCCTTTAAAAATATTTACATCTATCACGAGATTACCTGAAGATACACATCAACGATAAGGTTGAGCGGGAATTACTTGTGACTAATAACCTACTACTGATCAATCAGTAAGTCTAGTCTGGGGCTCAACAATACCCTCCGTTAATTATTCATGTTATTATTATGTTTGACCGGGAAAAGTGTGATCAAAATTAAAATGAAAAAAAAAAATTATATTTCCCTAACCCTGCAGTTCGATAAAATCACATTACAGAAATATGAAATAGTGGTATGAATATGAATCGACGTAACGTGTAGTCTATCCCACAGAAGTGACTTTTATCTTAAAGTGTCAAGTAAATGATCTTTCGAATTAGGTACTTTTTTTCCCTTTTACGTTGTACATATACATTGATTTTGAGGAATTGCCGATCAAGGCGTACTTAATCTACCTCAGTTATGTCGATAAAATTTTTGTACACGATATTTATGACAGTGCACGATAAGGGGCACGTGTGTTGATTGATAATTGTTAGAAAAATAGCTTTCGTTTGTTCGAATGACGTAAAAAAATTAGCGATTAAAAAAAAAAAATATTTATCATACAGTTTTTATTCTGTAGTAGTAAATGCATTTGGCTTGTTAAACATGAGCGAACAAGTGGAAAGTATATGGTATAGCTTGTATTGTGTTTTATGTACACGCGAGTACAGTTACATACCACTGCTATTTCCCAATCGAAAATATATGTGATTCACGGAGTCTCGGGTGACCAGTTGAAGTATTTGCGACTAAAAGAGTTGAGGGAGTTGGAGAATGTGTGTTTTTTATGCGGTAGAAATTTGGAAAATGCGCGTATGTCAAAGTTCTGGGAAATTGCAGCTTTTTTTTTGTGGGATTCTATTTTTTTTTTTTCCAAAATAAAACAAACGCTCTGATGATCAACATTTATAAAATTTATTTATTACGTATACAACGTACTTTATTATGAGATACTTTTGAAGTTGAGCAGATGATGAAAAGAATCGGCATTGCAAATATTTGTGAGATACTAAAGAATATTTAAGAAGATTTAGAGGATCAAGCATTAATTCATAGACTTTACGAATATTGATGATTTATTTATTTCATTACTACAGATTTTAAAGTATAATTATTATGGAAAATATTAATAAAATTACAAAGTGCTTTCACGCATGGTTTGCTATTGTACTGGATAAGACGCAAATTAAATTGTACATTTATGTATTTAAATGTGGCCTTGTAAAATGCACATATTTACGTCACACAATATTTTTTGATAAACTGTTATTTTTTTACTAGGCCACACTTTGATCAAATCTTTTTTATAATTCGTTTTTAAATTATACAAATAATCTCACAAGTTTCTCAATATTCCATAGTTAATTGTTAACATGAACCTTAACATGATTGTGGTAGGCATTGATTTTTTTAGTGTTTTCCGTTGATTATTTTAAAATGAGGCTTTTTTTGCTTATTAGACATAAAAAAAACTATTGATTTTCATTCATAAAAATTCCAAGTCAAAATAAAATTTGTACGTAACTGTTGCGCATATTCAATCCAGGCAACGGAGACAAAATTACTATATAATGGTTGCTCATTATCTTTTCGCTTCTATTTAGATATCAGTTGACCTTGATTAGGTAAGCCACTTGACGGAATGTCAATATTTATTATTCGGTAAAAGCTTTTGAGTAAATTGCAGCACCAATTTTTATATCGATGTATGAACTTAATCAATCATTATTACGTAACGTAAATCCTTTATGTGATGAAAATGTGATTATTCTATAGAGGAGCACGTGGGTAACTTTCACGAAGACCGCTTTTAAATCGAGTACAGTTTTGATACAGTATTTATGGGACTCGCATTTTAATTGACAAATTGAAATTGTTTAATGATTTTTTTTTACTACTGTATTATTTAAATATTTAATCATGTATTTGCAGCCATGCGTTCATTGTTCACTTATCCCAAGCTCTAAAAATCGTATTACAAACCTAACATTAATTTTGAAATTCAAGGTGGTTTTCATATTTGACTTTTATTTTAAGGTAATTTTGCAAGAAACGTAACTAAAGTGAAATACTTGAAACTTATGCCATTTTTAAAATAAATAATTAAAAATAAATGTATTTTGCAATGTATACGCAAGAGGAAGTACAATGAAATCTGCAAAAAATGATGCAACCGGCAAAGAAAATGCAATGAATGTCACTCAATACTGTAATAATTTACCAATATTCAATGTTTTTAATACAAATCAACAACAAACTTGATTTTACATGTATTTAAGATAAATAGTTTTTTTTTAAATAATTCTAGTCATTTTTTTTTTATTTTTTATCAAGACATCGCACATGTTTTATATAAGCCTAATATTATTTTCTTTTCACATTACTGGATCTTTCCTCATAAATTAAAAATGGCCCATCAAATCAATTACAAGGGGGTCTCTTCACATCAGCCGATAAATTGCTGTAAGTATAGTTACTGTTTTTGTTACAACGTGTAACATGTAAACATAAACCTACTTTTTTTTCTGTATGAGTTTCCAGCATCCCAAATAATAAGACAATCTGCACTAATCGAAGAAAACGTAGTGACGGTAAACCGATAATTTATTATTGTTTGAAATGCACACCAAATTTCGACACTAACCTACGAAAAACAATTATTTTTCTATTTATAAACATAACTTACCTCAACGAGTAGGGGTCCATTATCGTAAGATACAAGTTCCAGAAACAAATTTATTTTTTCTTGCGTTAAATTGAACTGTGTACCGTACGTGCGGCGCCTCTTCGTCACCAGCTTTGCAAGAGCTTCGATTCCGCATGCATTATTTTTTTTTTTTTTTTTTTTTTTTTTAGCCTGAAATAGAGCGAGTGTTTTACAAAGCGCATAAAGGCTAGTTTTGGTCAAAGTAAGTATTGCTTCGGATGGAGTACAGTCGTATAATTTTTAAGGATAAAATAACAATTGAATTTTTCAAATACTTCATTGCGAGGTAACATTTTGCTCAAAATGTGCCTTTTTTTCGGGCTAGAAATTTTTTTTTTATCACTACGTATATCATAGTAGTTAACTGTATTTAACTTAAACAATGCATTATGTCTTTAAAAAGAAAAATTTTGGAGAAACAAATTGTTAAATTTCGGTCGATGCTTATTTATCTTAGTTCGTACTATTTTCTTGCTGGTTTTTTGGAATGAAAAAAATGATTCACCAGTAATTACATTTCATATAAACTAAAGTCATCGGTTGGCCTCATTTTGTTCGTTGTGTGATCACGTGATCTTTTGAGACATATCGTGCTCTCGCAAACGTGACAACTTACACATGCATGTAATTTTTTTTTTTATGTTTATATGCGCTAGTCAGACATTTTTCGTCCGCGAGAAAGTAGAATAAACGCAAATGCTTTGTTTTTCGAACAGAAGAAAAAAAAAAAAAAAAAAAAGCACAAGAGGAAGAGAAATAGAAATCAAAGCCATACATTGGTTGAATATTCCGTAAGTGGTATTTGCGATCGACAGCCGGTTTATAGTGATTTGACTTTGGATCGCGGTCATGTGCGAAATATTGAGAGTTGCATAATATTTTTAACATACGGAATTTCATCCGTGAAATGAAACATTTACCATTATTTTTTCTCGGATTACTATCTCGGTATGAAAATTTCAAGGTTTTCCTGGCAGAAATTTTTTTTTATCAGATATTTTTCTATCAAATTCGAAAAAACACTAAAATTCAACATTCATTGTTTGATTTTTTGCGAGAAGAATCCGATTTTTCCTGTTTCGTACGACCGAGTCAGCTTAAAATATTGCAAACGAATGAATAATCATTTTCATTGTGACTTAGTATTACTTGACTCAATATTTTTACGGCTCGTTTAAGTTGTTTTACACACACGAAAAATTAATGTTGGCAGCTACAATTACGATCATAAAAATAAATTTGTCTCATCATTGATATTGTTGCAATTTAAGGTAATCAAAGCAAGTCATAAGGAATTTGTCACGTTTAAATATTATTCTGTTGTAACAACGTTTTGTAATTTATGTTTGATGAAACTGCAATTGGAAAAAAATGCGTAATACGCACAAAATTTGTCTTTAAAAGTATTATAATTTAGTATTTTTCTTCAATATCTAATTAAAAGAGTGAATGATTGAAAATTGATTTTAGAAATCTATAATTTCTTAAATAAATAATTATTAACACAACAACAATGATACGCAATAAAACGAGGACACTAATGTTAAGATAATTGTTAGTGTATGATTCAGGGAAAATTGTTATTAAATTTTATTTGTAGACAAGGTTCAGACGTTTCTTTTAGCGTCAAACAATCTTTTATTGACAAACGTTTCGCGCTTATGACTCTCGAATACACTTCGGTATTTTTACAATGCAGTGATGTGAACTCGTCATGTCTACAGATAATTTATTAAACTTAC